TTTTTCCCCATTTCCTGCTCTCTAACCCCCTTTTCCCCCCATTTTTCCCCAATTTTTCCCCGTTTCTCCCTCTTTTTCCCCATTTCCTGCTCTCTAACCCCATTTTCTCCCCGTTTTTCCCCATTTTTTCCCCATTTTCCCCCATTTTTCCCCATTTTTTCCCCGTTTCTCCCTGTTTTTCCCCATTTCCTGCTCTCTAACTCCATTTTCTCTCCGTTTTTCCCCATTTTTTCCCCATTTTTCCCCATTTTTTCCCCGTTTCTCCCTCTTTTTCCCCATTTCCTGCTCTCTAACCCCATTTTCCCCCCATTTTTCCCCAATTTTTCCCCGTTTCTCCCTCTTTTTCCCCATTTCCTGCTCTCTAACCCCATTTTCCCCCCATTTTTCCCCATTTTTTCCCCATTTTTCCCCATTTTTTCCCCGTTTCTCCCTCTTTTTCCCCATTTCCCGCTCTCTAACCCCGTTTTCCCCCCGTTTCCCCCCATTTTTTCCCCGTTTCCCCCCGCAGATGTCGCTCCCCGAGGAGACGCTGCTGCTGGTGGAGCACCGCTACGTCTGCTCCGAGTGCTCTCACCTGTCTCCGTCGCTGGAGGAGGCTCTGCTGCACCACCAGCAGCACCTGCAGCCCCCGGCAGCGCCGGCGGCGCCGCGGTGCAGCCCCCCGCCCCCTCCCCTGGAGCTGCTGGGCGTCCCCCCGGAGCTGGAGCCCCCCAGCCAGTTCCAGTGCCTGGAGTGCGGCGCGCTGCTGGTGACGCCGGGGCAGCTGCTGGAGCACCAGGAGCTGCACCTCAAGCTGCTGGAGCCGCCCCGCGCCGCGCCCGCCGCCGCCGGCGCCGCCGCCATCCACTTCGAGTGCCCCGAGTGCCGCGCGCTCTTCCAGAGCCAGGAGCTGTGGCTGGCGCACCGGCAGGGCCACCGCGCCGCGCCGCGCCCGCCGCGCGTCGACCTCGACCACTCCTACCGCAAACCCGAGGACGGCGGCGCCGAGAGCGCCGAGGCGCCGGCCGGCGACGCCGTGCAGCTGCTCCTGTACGAATGCGGCGAGTGCCTGCAGCTCTTCCAGAGCCCCAAGGACTTCCTGGAGCACCAATCCACGCACCTGGCGCCCTGCCCCGCCCAGCCGGCGCCCGCCGCGCCGCCGCCGGCGCCGCCGGAGCTGCGCTGCCAGCAGTGCCGGGAGCTGCTGCCGTCGGCGCGCTCGCTGCGCGCCCACCTGCGCTGCCACAGCCTGGGCGCCTTCCAGTGCCCGCTGTGCTCGCGGGTGCTGCCGGACCCCGCCGAGCTGCGCCGGCACCGCGCCGGCCACGCCGGCGACTCGCTCTTCCTGTGCCTGGACTGCGGCTCGGCGCTGGACACCGAGGCGGCGCTGCTGGCGCACCGCCGCTCGCACGGCGCCGAGCCGCTGCACCGCTGCGACTGCGGCAAAGCCTTCGCCAGCATGACCAAGTTCCTGTACCACCGGCGCTCCCACGCCGCGCCCGGCGCGCTGCCGCTGCCGGAGCCGCCGGAGCCGGAGCCGGAGCCGCCGCTGGAGTGCGGGATGTGCCCCAAAGCCTTCCCCAGCGCGGCGGCGCTGGCGCGGCACCGGCGCTTCGTGCACCGGCTGGAGCGGCGGCACCGCTGCGGCGCCTGCGGCAAGATGTTCAAGAAGTCGTCGCACCTGCGCAACCACGCCCGGACGCACACGGGCGAGCGGCCCTTCCCCTGCCGCGAGTGCGGCAAGAGCTTCAACTCGCAGGCCAACCTGCTGCGGCACCACCTGACGCACACGGGCGAGCGGCCCCACGAGTGCCCCGAGTGCCACAAGCGCTTCGCCCAGAACTCCACGCTGCGGCAGCACCTGCAGGTGCACCTGCGGCGCTTCCCGCACCGCTGCGCCGAGTGCGGGCTGCGCTTCCACCGCCCGCACCGGCTGCTGCTGCACCGCGCCCACCACACCGGCGAGTACCCCTACAAGTGCCCGCAGTGCGGCCGCAGCTTCCTGCTGCGGCGCCTGCTGGACGTGCACCTGCTGGGCCACGCCGGCCGCGAGCCGCAGCGCTGCCAGGGCTGCGGCGCCGCCTTCGCCGGGGCGGCCGCGCTGCGCGAGCACCGCTGCGGCAAGGCCGGCTGGAGGTTCGAGTGCGGCGTCTGCGGGAAGAAGGCGGGGACGGCGGCCAGGCTGCGGCAGCACGAGAGGACGCACGGGGCGGCCGGCGGCGAGGAGGAGGAAGGAGGAGGAGGAGGAGGAGGAGGGGGGAAGGCGGTTCAATCCCCGCGGGCGGCGCGGCGCGGCGCCAAGAACCTGGAGTGCGGCGAGTGCAAGAAGCTGTTCAGCACCGAGACGTCGCTGCAGGTGCACCGGCGCATCCACACCGGCGAGCGGCCGTACCCCTGCCCCGACTGCGGCAAGGCCTTCCGGCAGTCCACGCACCTCAAGGACCACCGGCGGCTGCACACGGGCGAGCGGCCCTTCCGCTGCCAGGAGTGCGGCAAGAGCTTCGCCATCGCCGTGCGGCTGGCCGAGCACCGGCGCATCCACACCGGGGAGCGGCCCTACGGCTGCCAGGAGTGCGGCAAGGCCTACCGCTCCTTCTCCAACCTCTGGAAGCACCGCAAGATGCACCGGGGGAAGGGCGGCGCCGAGGGGGAGGGGAAGGGCTCCAGGGCTGGGGCGGGGGTCCGTGGGGCGGGATCGGGGGTTGGGATCCCCCCGGAGACCCTCGGGGTGGGCTCGGGGTCAGAGATCCCCCCGGAGACCCTCGCAGGGGGATCGGGGGTTGGGATCCCCCCGGAGACCCTCGCAGGGGGATCGGGGGTTGGGATCCCCCCGGAGACCCTCGCAGGGGGATCGGGGGTTGGGATCCCCCCGGAGACCCTCGCAGGGGGATCGGGGGTTGGGATCCCCCCGGAGACCCTCGCGGGGGGATCGGGAGCTTCCGGCGAGGTTCTGGTGGTGGGATCTGGGGTTGGGATCCCCCAGGAGACCCTCGGAGTGGGATCGGGGTCTGAGATCCCCCCAGAGACCCTCGGGGTGGGCTCGGGGTCAGAGATCCCCCCGGAGACCCTCGCAGGGGGATCGGGGGTTGGGATCCCCCCGGAGACCCTCGGGGTGGGCTCGGGGTCAGAGATCCCCCCGGAGACCCTCGCAGGGGGATCGGGGGTTGGGATCCCCCCGGAGACCCTCGCAGGGGGATCGGGGGTTGGGATCCCCCCGGAGACCCTCGCGGGGGGATCGGGAGCTTCCGGCGAGGTTCTGGTGGTGGGATCTGGGGTTGGGATCCCCCAGGAGACCCTCGGAGTGGGATCGGGGTCTGAGATCCCCCCAGAGACCCTCGGGGTGGGCTCGGGGTCCCCCAGCGAGGTTCTGGTGGTGGGATCGGGGGTTGGGATCCCCCCGGAGACCCTTGCAGGGGGCTCAGGAGCTTCCGGCGAGGTTCTGGTGGTGGGATCGAGGTCAGAGATCCCCCCGGAGACCCTCGGGGTGGGCTCGGGGTCTGAGATCCATGGGGTGGCCTCAGGGTCCTCTGGGGAGGTTCTGGTGGTGGGATCGGGGCTTGGGATCCCCCCGGAGACCCTCGGGGTGGGCTCGGGGTCTGAGATCCATGGGGTGGCCTCAGGGTCCTCTGGGGAGGTTCTGGTGGTGGGCGCGGGGAAGGACGTCGCGCCGGGGACGCGC